AGGAAGGGCTGGAGCGCCCTTAAGAGGAGGAGTAACGATCGTGACAGTTAACTTCTTCTCTCCTGCTATACAGTACAGTAAGTTAAGTGTGTATCAAATGGGAAAAATAATTAAAATTTGAACTTTACAAAAACTGCAAGAATGTGTTAATAAAGTTTATCATAAAAAAGGGTTTCAACAACTACTGTGACCTATATGTACAGTCTTTCAACAGACTGTAAGAATTACTGCTATTATCCCCTCATGACAGCTGATGAAGGAATATGTAAATGTGAACACACAGGGCTTTTCATTTAAGACAAAGAATATATTAACCTATTTCATAATGCCGACCCATCTCTAAATGTCAAGCACCCTGAAGTTTAAGTCAAGACTCACTACTCACTGCTCTGGTGAGAATGGAAATTAAAATTGCTTCTGTTAATAACAGCTCTGCTGCGGGACCCTTTCAAGCAAATTGTGCATCTCTAGGCATTTAAAGAGAAATGAAGGGCACTAACATCACTGCAAATAATCCCAACATGAGAAGCACACTTATTTTTAGATGAAGCAAAACCAGTGCCGAGACTACTGTGCAGTCTCTTCAGATTCACTGAAGATACATTTCTGTGCCAGCGTAGAGATGATTAAAGTGTTTATGGTGATGACTGCACATATTTCAAAAACTGAGCTCTGCTTAACTCTATCCTCATATACTTTGCCTTGTAAAAGTATGGAGACCCATACAATTTTTTCACTTTTTGTTGCTTTAAATTTTATAGGCATGACACTTTGAAATAGCTATTATTTTTTGTTACTGTATATACACAACCAAATGCACACATTCAAAACAAGAAAAGAAAGAAGTAAATAGATATACTATACTATATAGAAAAATGAATATAGAATATAGAACCATGATTATTGAAATACTATGAATGAAAATAGAAAAGTCAATATACCATCGTTTTTGTATTCTTTGCTGCGGCAAGCCTAAATTAATTTAGGTACAGTACATGCAATTACAGTATTGAGCCACACTTTTAGCTGAGGAGCCTCTGTCTGTGTGCAATAGTGGTCAAATTTCAAAATAAGTACACCTGTCACTGTGCAGTTCCTTGGTCAGGTAATGAATTTCAAGCAAAGATTCAACCATGATGACTAAGGAGATTTCAAAGCAAGATGAACAGCAGAAATCAGGAGAAGGGTACAATAAATATTGAAGTCTATAATTATTCCTGTGAACTGTCTTCTCAAACATCAAGAAATGGAAGATGCATCATACCACCCAGCCCCTGCGAGATCTGGCTATCCGTGCAAAATGAGTAGCCAGGCAAAGAGGAAACTACTGAGAGACACTGGAGGGAACGACAACTTTGAAAGAACTACACAGTTCAGTGGCTGAGGCATGAGAAATTGTGCATCAGTCAACAATATCCAGAATACTTCACATACAGTAACTAGCCTTATGTGGTAGGATGGCAAGAAGAAAACTAAAATAAGCTATTTAATATCCTACATGGAGTTTGTCACAAAGCTGATCCTGGAAAAATGTGGAAAAATATGTTGAGGTCAGAAGTGGCCCAAGTGGAACTTTTTGTTCTGTATCCCAAGCACTACATTTGGCACAGACACCACACAGCACATCTCCCAGTCAAAATCACATCTACAATCAAGCATGGTGGTGGCCGCATCAGGAAACGAGAATGCTTTTCCTCAGCCAGAACTAGAAACCTAGTGAAAAGCAAAACTAAAACATGATACTGCCCCCCCATGCTTGGCAGTGGAGATGATGTTGCACTATATTGGGTTTGCATCCGATTTGCTTGACATTTAGACAAAAAAGTTCAAATTTTGTCATGTGTGACCACAACTCTTTATGCCACATGTTGGCAGTATCATTTAGGTGCTGTGTTTAAAACCCCATGCTGGATTCAAGATGTTTTTTTAGTTTCATAAAAGCCTCTTTGTGATTGGGATATTTTTGACTCGTGAACATTTTCTCCCATCTCAGTCAATGAATTCTGTAACTCCTCCATGTCCAGATTTTCAGTTTGGAGGGACAGCCTGATCTAGGCAGTGTCTGGGTGCCTTAAATTTCATAATAAATACTTTACCATGTTGAAACAGATATTAATGGTCTTTGACATTTTTCAAATCTACTCCTGATCTGTGCTTTTATAGAACATTATTCCTGAGTTGTTTTGAAAGCTCCTTTGATTTCATGGTTGAATCATACCTGACAGGGATCTTACAGGAGTCTTGTGCAATCATGTAAACCACTATTATTGTACACAAACAGAGGCTACACAACTAGTTGTGTGGCTCATTATGGTAATTTTATGCACCTAAATTAATTTAATTTTGCCAAAGCAAAAGGTTTGAAAGCTAATGCAATCACAATTTTCCATTTGTGATCTCCTCCTTGAAAGAAACCTGGGTATTGACTTCAACAGCATGGCTTGCTTGCGTGTTCCAGACACACCCATTTGAGTGAAGAAGTGCCTGGCATTATTGTTCTAAATGCACTTGCATGCAGTTTACGCCTGAGCCCTGTAGTTCATGTTTCACAGTTCATTCAGCAGAAATACACTGGCTTTGAGGAGTCTGAATACTTGTATCAGGTACCTTCATGATCTTCTCTGTTCAAGCCTGAAAAGGTTCACTTCCTTCAGTCTATCAGTAGAAGACATTCCCTGGTTACCCTTCCCTGGACTGATTCCAGAGCACAGATAACTTTTCTATCGGGACTTACAAATGTGTTATACATTTCTAACATAAAATCCCTTGATTTAAATTATATACTTAACTATATATCCTAGCATTTTATTTGCTTCTCCACATTGTGTGAAAGATGTAAATGATGTATCAACATAAACACCATAGTCTTTACTCTCTTCCCAGCAGGTTCCCATTTTGTAATAATAATTTATTTTTACTACCTGTATGCAATGCCTTGTCCACCTTAAATCCACTATATCTTTTCCCAGTTATGCATTTTATTTACATCTTTTTGAATTTCATTTGCAGCTTCTACAGTAGATCATTGATATAAATTAAGAGCAGTGGTCCTAGTACTGCTCCCTGCAGTACTCCATTAATTACCTCAACCCAGTTTTAGTTCTCACCTCATACCTGTACCCTCTGATTTCTATTTAATAAGCAGTTCTCAAGCCAAACACTAGCTTTTCCATGAATGCCTATTGAGTCAGTAATATGGTTGTATAATAAACATTATTTGCTACTTCAAAATGTCATCACTGCACACTTTAAAGCAACTAAATGTGAAAACCTTGCAAGGGTCTGAATAATTTTGTAATGCACTGTAGATGCTTCAGCAGTTAGCAGAGTAGCCAGACAAGACTATAAATTGAAAATACAGACATTAACAGCAGTAAAAACACTATGAAAAAAGAGTGGTTGGCTCCAGACTGCATACTGCTCTGTCAGTAACTTTTCAACCACTTTTTAGACAGCTACAGAATGGTATTTCAGCCAATCTTTAACCATTCTGAATGATACAGGCGAGATATTTTTAAAGAGTATTAAGAGAAAAACTCATTTTGCACCAAAAACAAGATTGAAATGAACATGCCCATAGCTGATCTCCTTACCTGAAAGGATAAGCAAACTCGATGCCAATGCTCAGGTTGCTGTCCGTCTTGTTTACACAGTCTACACTGACCTGCAGCTGGCCGGAGTACCCACCGCATGTTGCAAATGCAAAAATTGCAAAAAGCTGTAAAACAAACACAAATAATTGAAATGTTTTTTTTTCCCATTTATTCACAGGGGAGAGTTACAAAGTGTAACCGTGTAACTGGACTCCTCCTACGCACACACATTAAAACCACCCACTCATCTTTTAACACATCACTGGCACCACAGCTCCAACCTGGTGGCTTAATGCTGATGAAAGGAGAGGCACTACCCCTACTGACAGCACTACAGGCCTGCAAGTGTCCAGGAGGCCACAGGGCTCTATGTTCCCCCGAGTGTTGATAGAGACACAACTATCTGCTTGTGCATTCCTGCTTGCAGAATCCTGATCACATTACATTAAACCTGAAATTCCCAGATCACACAGCTCACCCTGCACTCAGTGAGAGCCTTTGCTGGCTGTTTTTGGACGCACTGTTTGTATTTAATGATATTCAGAAGGTACATCCAGTACACCCAGTTTTTGGCTACACTGTTTGTCTTTACTTTTCCACCTCTGGTCCATTGAAAATCTTGTAACTTGAACATTTTGGTTCATGCCACATATTTAAAACTCACCCCACCATTGCTACAGTAGGTTGAGATCTGAAAGCTAATCTCTGTAGCTAAGATCTGTAGCTCTCAGGATGGGGTTGGGTCACCTTTTGGAATGTCCTTCCCTTTACCAGTCAGACAACCAATCATCCAATTAATCTATTTTCACTAACTCCCTATTTAATCCTAAAACACCATCAAGTAAGCACTCCGTCACTGAGCTACCAGTGGCAGTAACGCTCTTGATGCACTCCCCACTGGATGTGCTAGCACACTCTTGAAGGATTGTGGATCCTGGAACCTCTCTAAAACTCAAAGAACGAATGCTTGCCCAGTGTTGTCTGCACTTCTACAGCCACGCAGCCTGGTATAAGTTAGTGATGTGTGTTGTGTGTGTGTGCTGTTGTATAACACCTTGTAAAACAGCAAAGCACTGCACTAAAGCAAGGCAGTGAAAATCTTCCCTAGACTGCAGGACTAGCTTCAGTGGCAGATCAATCACCTTGTCTAAGACTGTTCACATGCTCAAAACAGCGTAAATTGACTAAGGAAAATTTAAAACTGCAAATTGTATTATTCTAAATTAGGCAATTACTCTTACTCTTAAACTGATAAGTAATTCAAGATTTTAAATCACTGACACATACAATTATGATATCTTAAGTGTCATGCTAATTTAGTCATTACGTGATCAGAAATGTGATAAGACTGTCCACGGTTCTCACAGTGTTTGCACAGTGTTGCATTTCATAGCTGTTCATTTGCAAGTACAAAGTGTAGTTATGGTACACTCCTATCCAAGCTGAAGCAGTATTAAACATACTTCACATTCATTTAACCTATTTTCCCCACTTGTACATTATGTAAAGGTCATGGAACCCTGATGAAATAAAGCAGATTTGTACTGTAGCTCTGGCTAGTTAACGTTCTCCCAGTGTGTGTGTCTCAGTGGTGTGGGTAGAGTAGGACTACTGAAGCTCTGCAGGAGAGTGTCACGCCCCACACTCTCCCTCGCAAACGACGTCACATTCCCGGAACCTCTGCTTCCCAATCTCATCCCTGATTGAACCCAGCACATTCTCACATGCATCAGATTCCTCAAATTCTCACTCCCTAACCAATCATCCAATCACACCCTGAGGGTCCCCCTGGGAGCTAATGGACTTGTAGAGAACAGGGGTCTCTCCCACACCTGGGAAGCCTCGCTGCCCTGAAGTCACTGCCCTGGACAAGCATGGGCTCCCACAATCTTTGAGTCCAAAGGCTGACGGGGGAGCTTGAGCTTGGCAGGTGCTTGCTTTTGCTCTGTTACGTTCCAGCATGTCTCAAAATTATAAAGGCAATAAAGATGACAAAACCTGGGCCCTTAGTTGTACTCCAGTCTGTCTTAAATACCATTTGTCCTGAACTAAAGAAACAAGACTTGCTACAGTAACAATAAAACATGGTTTAATAAAACAGGAAACGAAGCAAAGGCTCAACACAGTGAGATTCCTATGCTATTAGACCTTGAATAGTGGCTGTGCCACTGAGGATTCCAATCCATGGTAATTAACCAATGGATCAATTATCTTTAAACATATCAAACAACTGAGGCTGTCTGACAGCTGGTGGCAATGTGTCACAACAGCAGATTAAAGTCTTGCAAACTTATGAGGAAATCTGACTAACCCTCTTAGTTATAGTAGCCAACAGGTTACGCCATCTAATCTGTTTAAAACATAGTACTGTACTTTACCAATTCTACATCTGAAAAAAAAAACTAAAGGAAAGACTCAATTGAAACACAAATCTCATAATGAAAACTATGCATGGGATTCGAAAGAAAAATAAACTAAAATGCCAAATAACAACAAAGATAAACCACATTTGTAGGTAGACTTAGACATGAAAGTTTCCACAGAAGTGCATTTGAGAGAGGAAAATATAGCAAAGTATTCCATTCAGAGGCTCCGTCTTACTCAAAAGAGTTATTGAAACATCTAAATCCTAAGTCAATATATTGATGTTACCATAACTAAAAGTTCATTTAATACTACTGTACGCTCAAGGTTAAAATACAGTTAGTCAATGTGCTTTTACTGTTAACATATGTTAGGGTATGAAAGGGAGCAAATCAAAACTGTATCAAAGCAAACTACAAAGCAATGCATCTATCCCTCAATACCTTAAGTAGGGCAGGAAGGAGTGCTGATGAGCAGGCTGAAGGCAAAAAGATGATTCTCACAACAGCACTCAGAGGGCTCAGATTTACTGTGTAAGTACAAATACATTTCAGATCATTCTCTTACAGCTTTAGGCGAAAAAGTGGCACTTGACAGGGGAAGATATTGTATTATTGATATTAAAGATGCAGTTTTTTTTCATTACCTGCAAAACCCACAGAGGCCATTAGAACTGATAGCTGGAAAGATTTTGTTTGGCACTGTTCGTGCTAAGAACAAAGCACATAAAACAAACCAAAACAAGACAGATTACACTTCAGAAACTATTATTAAGCTGCATCAGGGCAATAATCCATTCATTTTATTAGAACTGTCTTCTTGGTCTCTGGAATTTAAATTCCAAAGGTCTAGCAGTGTTCTGTATTTCATCTATTCTCAGAAACTGTTGGAAAAATGCACCTTAAATAACAAAGGTAATCTAACTAATTATATTGTATTTTATATGATCTAACTATTGAAATATCATATTTTATTCAAAAACATACTATGTTTGCTTATCTATTATTAAAAGAAAGACCTTCATTCTCATATTCAGAAATACTGACAGAAACACATAAAAAAAACATTTCCACTTCAGTAATGACTTAAAAAAATAAAGAGCAAGATATACATCAGATAAACTCATAAACCTGCAGCTTTTCAATCCTGTAATCATTCAAGATGTTTGGAGAAAACTCCCAGAACTTTCCCTTTGCATGAAAATGAACTTTGATATGGCAAACAGGTAAAACAGGAAGAAAACAAATAAGAAGCTTGTATTGCTTTCCTTTGCTTGACTGTTCCCAGTGCCAGCACCTTTCCACAGTTTGAAATCCACAGGGAAGAGAGAAAATTTAAAGAGAATTCCTCTAGAGATGATGCATTGCTCTCTTGATTAATCAATTCTACCTTGACACAGTCCCTGCTCTATGTCCTGAAAGAAAAAGAAACAGTTTCCCTGCTGTTGCATGAAAGAAACTGGATAGATCAGTTACAGAAAAGAGCAACACAACGCAATTGCAAAAATATAACCATATCCATTAAAGTACAAAAGTGAAATAACCTGTAAACCTGACACGTGCCTTTCTTTAACAGTTCTGTGGACCTGTAGCTGTTGCCCAAGAAGTCTTGTGTATCTGGCAGCACTGGTTGAGCTTGCAAGGTGGTATGAGCAGCATTGAAAGTGACATCAATTAAAAGCCCAGATGTCTTTCCAATCGATGCATTTCCCTCTGAAAATGCTATTAGCTTTGAGATAAAAGGGCATGCATGGCACAGATTTTTTTTTTCAGGTGAGGAACAGAAATAGACACCAGGGCAAATTAAATGTGAGTCAGTGAGACAACAGTCACAGCTTGGTTGTAAGAAGGCTGTACCCTGCGCAACACTGTAATCAGACGAAGGAAAATGACCAAAATGATTAATATGAGGAGCCCTAAATTAGGACATGATTATACTGTAAGTATTTGGGCCAAACACACATGAATGCAAGAGGTGGAACACCTACCATCTGTCAAGATTTCAATACAACCTCTTACATTTAGCTTTGTAGATTTAAGAGAAACAAAACATCACAAGCAGAATTGAATAATAACATGACTGGTATCTAATACATACAAATTAGACTGAACTGCAAAAGGTTCATTTTCATTCAGAAAACTATCTCCTGCAAACTGCTAAATAAACAGAGACGCACTAGAAAGCCAACAAATGGTGTTTTTTCCAATACACAATTTTTGTCTTACCTTTCAGTATACAAAATTATTGTATCACCTTTTTTTAACTAAAAAGCCTTGAACTACTGTATCTGAAGTTCACTCCTTAGAAGAATTAGGTACTAGCCACCAAGTCTAGATGGGTCAAATGACTTCCTTTTGTTTGTAACCTTTCTTATGTTCTCATGAAGTGAACTGTGGTTGGTCCAGTGACAGGAAGACCCGTACACACTGGTTTTACAAATACTTTCTCTATAAGACCCCCATTGACTACTGAAGTGAAGGCAGAATTGCAAACTAATTCCTGCCTTTCTTTGTGTTAATGTGAACATAATGAGGATTTAATACCATGTCATTAAACTAGTGCTATTATAATTTGGAGCACTGTTTTTTTTAAAAGTAATACTACAAAACCCCACTGACATTTCTGAAAGCTATGGGATCATATTTTGCTTAATGTAAGTGAATAACAACTTGTATCAGTGCACAAGTACTTAAATGATCAATATAGAAACTTCTGAAGAAAATTCAAACCAGTACAATCCTTCTTTTCTGTAACCCTACAT